TATATATTTATTGTTTTATTGGATTGTTGTATGCCACCCAGAGTCACTTTTTGTGAGATGGGCGGCCATATAAATTTGATTAATAAATAAATAAATAGGGGCAGTTTCTTGAAGTTGTATAGTGGCAGTCCATAATAACCCCAAACTGATGACACACATACAGTGACATGATCATAGAAATGCCATCTACATGTATGTGGACCCCAACCTCTGATGCAAGTAGGGAAACCTCATCATGTGTGTGACAATGTCATCATCCACATTTCATCATTTGTCCCCCTGGTTTGCTCCATGTACACCCATGAAGCTGCAAGTGAGACCTAGGTTTAAGAAGAGGCCTAAAATCAGTCAGCACCACAATAAATGGAAAGTGTTAAACTCAGTTAACATCAAGCTTCCTTCCCTTTTGGGGCACCAGAGGTCTTTTATATTCAAATATCTGTTATTTCTAAGCATTCCCTTGGATGCTTAGAAAAGAGCCCCTCATTAAGTATAGCTAGAGATAAAATGCCTTACACTTCTCTATGGTTGTCTCAGTTCAAAATTGTGATGGGACAGCCTCTCTTGCACCCTCTTCAAAGACGCTTGCCTGTTTCAGCCATCATTACTAATCCATATCCAAGCTGAGGATTTTCAAACTGGCACTGACTCCACCTACATTCCAGAATGTGATCTGGATCTTTAGCAGGATGGATCCACTGGAGTAAGCACTGTATTGAACCAAGACTGTTCCTCTGGAAAAAAAACTCAGTAGGAGATCCTTTTACATATTGGTATACTCACAGCACTATACTGTACTATTTCTGTTTTTTCCTCTCTGTTACTATGTAATGGAATCTGCCTTTTTTTAATGCATAAACATGTGGCTGGGAATTTTGGCTGGCTGAGTTCTCTTCTCCTGTCCTATGTTCAGATAAATTATTTATCACTTCTATAGAAAATTGAGACATTTTTTAATTTATTTTTATTTATTTATCGAATTTGTCACTGCCCATCTTGTTAAACAACTCTGGGCAGTTTACAAAACAATGAAAAACAATTAAAATTACAAAATTACAATAATAAATAAAAAATAAAAAGATCCAAAATAATTGGCAATCACTCAGGGAGCATTATCGAGGCGCTAGA